GCATGTGGGAGGTATAAAAGCAATAATGTTAATGTCAAAGCATAAGGGACATGTTTATAATCTGGTGAATGTTTGTGAGAAACACGCGATAATTTATGGATTATACATTGTATTACTCTATCTGCGTGACAATTCTAATTAGTTTTATATATATATATATATATATATATATAAACATATATTACATTTAATTGTCGATTTTAACACTTAAATGCTCAACAATTCTAAATGAGATTTTATTGTATTATACAAAATGTAATGTCAGTTATATAAAATATATAGCTAAAGTTTATTCAGAATTATTTATATACGTATATCATTAAATACGTATATCATGTTTTGTTTTATTATACTTGTTATACATACATATATAGGTAGTAAGTATAATATAGATTTCGTATTACTGATTCTAAAAAGTGCACGGCATTACATTACACGTACATATATGATAACATACTTCAATTCTGAGTACTTATGTTTTACGAGATATAATATTATGTGTAGCATATGGGAAATATTTTCGATCTAAAATATCAGTACAATTCGCAACAGAGCAATTTACACTTTTATTACACGCAACTACATTTCCTAACGTAAAATTATTTCGCTTCGCATGATTGCATTTTGAATTTCTAACTTACACGCAAAATAGCTATTATATAAAGCATCCATATAATTCTATGTATGCTTTATGTAATAAATTGTATGCATAACAAATAATATGTGAAGAGAAATATAAAAATGAATGATAAAATATTTAATAAAATTTTAAACCATCGCTTCAAACAAATAATTATTAGAAGAACATTATGTAAAATAATAAAATAAGGAATAAATAAAAATACTGTTTATATCTTCCTTTTATTATAATTTTAAAATAAAGTAAACTAAAATTTTATAATAAAGTACTGTCAAATCTTATTTTGTTTGGTAATAGTGAATATACATAGCTATGTCTACAGTTATTATGCAAAACTTGTAAAAATAAAAAATATCTTATCGAAAGGAGTAATAATAGAACACAAGATTAAACGCAATAAATCTCAGTAATTCGTTTGAATTTGGAGGATATTAAACAGCACCATCGTGCCATTTGTTGCAGATACATGGCCATTATGTACCCTCTTAAACATCATATGTCTCGCAAGAGGACAGTGATTACTTTGATTTTAATCTGGGGCGTTTCATCGGCACTAGCAACTCCGTGTCTTTTATATTCCACAACATCATTGCGCAGGTAATTATAATAAATGAATCACTAAGCAAACTTTGTTAATTTTGTATTTATGAACAATTTAACTTTACACTCTTTTATCTTATCTTAAAATCTAATTAATAATTATAAAAATTTATAATATTTTATCTTAGAATATTATAAATTTATATTACAAAATTATATTTATACGTAATTAAAAAATTAATCTAAAATAATAAAGAGAAAAAAAATACAACAGAAGTTAATATAAATTTTACGTTTATTTTCGCAATAATAAAATTGATACATATACCAATAATATTACACCAATAGTATTACTATTATATAATAGTAATACTATTATATAATATTATATAATAGTATTACTAGTATTAAACTTTCATATTGTGCATTTCATATTTCTTGTACTTAATATGTATATTTCAGTATCATTTAAGGATTGTAAGTTTGGACATTAATTCGAAATATATTGGCATTTACGCTTATCTTCCTTTTTCTGTCTTTATCAATGTCATTGTGCAAAATTATTTTCGAATAATATTATTATATTTATGTTACTTCTTATAATTTATTATAAGCTGTAGCAGATTAAAAAACACATAAAAATCTCATTTACGTTTTAGGTAGATAGTATGTTTCACGTTGCAAATGTGAAATGCTGATCACGTTTACAAGGATGCATTCTATTACTATAGAGCATGATGCCAAATCACTTATACAGTGTAATTTAAAAAATAGAGAATTCTATAAAAAAGTTAAAAGTAATACTTTGTACTTTTTTTTATTTTACTTATGTATATACATATTATTTTAATAATTAAAAAAATTTTTTAACTATTCAATATCAAAAAATAAATTTTTATAAACAAGAAATATAAATTTTCTGAATACTATGTATGAGAGAAGATGAGACAGTACATGTGTCATAACTATAAAATTATTATCATATTATTATAATATATTACTAGTATTTTATTTCATGTACTTTCATATAACGTCGACATCAAACATTATTTCTTCATTTTTGTAAAATTTATCTTTCTATCTTTTTTGTTTCTACAGAAACAAAAAAGAGAGCTCAGAATTTATAATTTTAAAAATACTTACAATTTATGTATATAACTGTAACATATTTTATTAAAAATTAATAAAAAAGTCTGAAGAAAATACATTTTAATTAAAATATTCTTTGTTTTCTATAACAGAAATGAAGTTTTTATTATACATTATAGTCGGAGCATAATTTAACTTAATCCTTTTATCAAGTAACGGCTGGTACAATGCTTTTATTTCATAACTTATACATATCTACTCGTATATAATCTACATCAAGAGATAATTATAAAACGTTTATAGATTTACATGGTTTTATCTTTACAAGTTGTTTCACATAAATTCATGCATTGTGCATTGTTCTTATATGTATGTATATTTATACATTTCATAGTTTTCAAATAAATTATTATTAACACAAACACTGATATTTAATAAAACAATGAAAGAAACATATTTTATTTTATTTTATTAATAAATAATGCAAATTGATAAATAAAACATTATTTATATTGAAATAACAAATCAAAATATAAGAGATAAAAATTTAAAGATAGAATTGTTTTAATAATGTTTTGTATTTTCTGTAATATTTTCTTATTTAAATAATTCTTATTAACATTCTTATACATATGTATATAATACATCTCTGCGTATCAATTGTGACTTTTTATATTCTCAGAATTTTGAGATGATTGCTTAGAAACTTGATAGTTACAACTAATTGCAATGGGATATATCGGTTTTTCTTTGCCATATGCTAGATGTTAATACAACACGTTACCTACAATCAGACTTATGTTACATATCGGACAGAATAAATTAACCAGTTAATTATTATATATTAAGAAAAATTTAGTCTACCTAATCTATTCAACATCAAAAAACTAGAAGTACATATTTCATTTATATTTTCGTAGATTTTCCTGAGGCTTACATAAAATATTCGACAAATGATGATATAAATTTGGAAAAAAATTTGACATTTTTGTATTTTAATATAAAATGTTGCAAAATTTGAAGATTATATATTTGTTCAATAACCTGCTCGTAGTCGAGCAAAGCTTTAAATTTCTTATCATTCTGAGCCAGCTGTTTCTTTCTCCACCTATAAATTCTCACTTATTTTCTCTTTGCTTATGATTTTTTTGTATATTTGTAGTATATATTTATCGCTAGTATTATTTAAAAAAATAAAAAAATTGTTATTTATAATAAAAGAAAGATTTTAATATACGTTCTAATATACGTTTTCATCTTCCAAAGTGTAACATCTAATGAAAAGAATATCTAACCAAAATTTTCTACTATTTTCATTCTAAACACATTATGTATCTGCTTTATAGTTCCTAAAGCTGATACTGTCCTTTAAAGCCGACCATCTGCTTCTAAGCCGTTCATATGTTCCCAAAATTGCTTATATTTCTTTTTATAATAAATAATTTCCCATAAATTTTAACAAACTAAAAATAATTTTTTGTAATAAAAAAATTATGCACTTAATTGTGTAAAACGTTAAATATTATTACACATGTTATTTACATATGTTACGATTGCATGTAACTTAAAGTTGCGATATTTCGAAATCGCATTTCGAAATTAAATAATAGGAGAATTAATGTATTTATAATTATTAAATTTTTTCAATTGTTTTTATTTAAAAAAGTGAAATTCGTATTTGTAAACATTTACTTTGCTTCCTATTGTATAATCAATATTTCATATGAATAACTTCTACCCTTGTTTTTATTTTTATTGATATCCATATCTGAACACGTTTTTCTTTGGCTTTAGTCCTATGAGAGACTTTTTTTCTCATATCCCTCCAAGAGACTTTACGAAAAACAAAATTTTCTTAATAATTAATATTTGAGAATATAAGAAGTATTTATATAATTGATAAATGTATTTAGAATTTATATAATCATAGTATTTATATAATCATCTCAATATTTATTACCACTGGTCTATATTTCCTTCAATATCCTCAGAGAAATTGATGTATGATCAATTGCAGGTATTCTAATGGAACAACTAGAATCTCTTGTTACTTATTGTGGCCTGACGGTGGTTACTTACACAGCAAAACGGAATATTGGTGAGTAATAATAGTTTCATTCTACTAAAATTCTCTCCTAAGCAAAACAGGTCATGGTGTAATAAACTTCAAAAATCTGTATGTCGAACGGGGATTGTTTTTTAAAAGGTGCGCACATAAAATTGTGTACGGAAAAAAGTTCCCGTAAACATCATTCGATCTATAATAAATGTGAAAGAGATTGAATCGACGATTATTCAAAGAAAATAAGAAAATTGCAGTATATTTGTTAGCAGCATATCACTGGAAATGATACAGAGAAGTTCGATCTAATTAGAATAATTGCATTTGTTCCACTGCATTACTATAGTTTAAGACTTAAGATTTAGAGACTTTAAGATTTTTATTAATTAAAGATAGAGATTTGAATAATAGAGATTTGATTTTTTTTAATAGCTTTGCTATTTACTATAACTTACACAAAATATTCTTATACAAAATAAGGTTAAAAATAAAGTTAAAATTATAAATAATTATTAATGTATAAGTCAGAGAATGGAAAGTTACTTATTAAGAGTATATTAGTTATCATTACTTGTTACCGAATCAAAATAGTAATAAATAAGAAAATAAAAAAAGAAGTCCAATTACAAATATTTGCTAAAACAGAATCGGTTAATTTAAAGTATGACAAGAAAAAAATTCGTTTTTAATTGAAGTGTAATAAAAAATCAAAAGTTTTGTCCATACAATATATAATACAATATACAAAATATAAATCCAGTCCTATAAATTTATACACATATATATATATATATATATATATATATACACATATATATATATATGTGTACGTATATATTTTTCTATAATTGTTATAAATAAATAACGATTCGATATTTAAAAAACTGAATTTTTTATATTTTATAAAAACTTTCCATTATTTTCAAAACTTAGTCAAACTGATTGACAGTATTTATATGTTAAATTGCTAAACTGACAAAAATAGAAAAGATATGAAAACATAAAACTAGTAGATATTGAACGTGAAAGTCAATATTAAATATACTCCAGCTTCCCCTTTTCTACATGAATAATAAACAATACGAGTTCAATTTACAGACCAGAACAAAATTCAAAATTTTTCTTCTAAAGAAAAGTTTAAATTGAATTAAAAAATATTGTTTAGAAAATATAGATTATTTTCTAAAGATAAAAGAAAAAGTTATTCAATTCACAATAAAATTAGTGATTTTAGTGATTTTAGTGAATTAAATAAATGTTTGTTAATAATTGTACCGTGTCAGTAATCCTATTTCTTATTTATTGTTGAAAAGAAAAAATATTTAACTGCTATAAAACCGAATAAGTACATTATATATATTTTTTTATTATTTTAATTTCATCCTGTTAATTAAAAAACTTAATTGGACATATAATATATTTATTTATATAATAATGTAATTTATAAATATTTTAATTTAATAACTGTTTTATCCAAAGAATAATCATGATAATCATATTCACCATCAAATTTTTTATCAAATTTTTTATTAGAAAATATCAATTCCTATTGAATATATCTCTTTGAATATAAATCTTAATTATTCAGAATAGGGTTGGTAAAAAAATATGTTTTAAACGTGTTTTAAATAGTTTAAAACATATTTAATTGATGTTTTTTAATATGTTTTAAATTTTTTTTATAATACTGTTTAAAACATATTTGAAGCATTAAAAACATATTTAAGAAAAAACATAATGTTTTATTCTTAAAAAAAAAACATTAGTCTTTTCCAACCCCAATTCAGAATAACATTTTATCTATCACGTAAGTACTTTAGATATATCTATATCTATATCAAGGTTTTCATTTGTCGAATAGTCCAGAAACTTTACTATCGTTAGAGTAGGGCTCTCCATTTATGAAGAACATCATGTAACGCTAAAGTTTACACAGAATACCTATGTTCCTATATATATATATATATACGAAGCAACTTCAAGTTAAGGTTATTTAACGGATATAACAATATCATTGGATCTGATAGCGTGCAATAGGATAATTTAAAACACTATCAAACCTATTAGGAAGTACAGTTCTATATATGCCAAATGAAGTTATGCATGGAGATTCTATCACAAATTCCAAGTAATTTCACAGAATAATCCTCTTATGTGCAATTTAACTCATCCAGCAAATGTGATTGCCACGTTTACTATTGGAATTCGGAATTGATACTTCAATTAAGAATGTCAAGAAGAACAAAATCGATATTACCTGTTCCGGAGTATAATTCTCATAATATTCCGAGAGTAAGAAGTAACTAATGAGTACTTAATGTAGTATTTAATTCCAGCTTATTAAATCAAACGTCATGGTTATATTGTATGCTAAAACTTTTTTTAATAAAACTTTTTCTTGATTAAGTCAAGAGTAAAGTTACTCAATTATTGAATTTTAAATGCCTAAATGACTGATTTCTTAAAAATAATTAAACTGCCTTAATTTTTAATTCAAGTTTTTACCTATTATCGCTACTGTGTGCTACACATTAAATTTTAAACATCGTAATTAATAAAAACAGATTTTCTGTCTTCTTTCTTGAGTAATCGGCTAACCCGTGTATCTTATAAAACGAGTTACGGTTTTAATAAAACTTGGCGTAATAAGTCTCTCAGTATATACCTCGGAATTGTTATGGTTTTACATAAATAATTTATTACAGCTACAATCTTCTATTCCTTACTGTAACGTATCTGGTTCCCATGTCAGTGATGGCTGTCTGTTATACGTGCATGGGACGAAAATTATGGGGCTCGAAATCGATTGGTGAACTTACACATTATCAGAAAGAAGCGATGAAATCTAAACGCAAGGTACGTTATTGAATACTTTCATATTATTATGTCAATAATATTTTACAACGTAATGACGTAAGTAAACTCGTAAAATATATTAATAAGCACAATTGTAATGTATAAAAATTTAAAAAGAAATGTTTTTTCATATATTATTGTTTTACATCAAATTTTCCAAACTTTTTAAAAAGACAAAAATGTATTTAAAAAATTCTAAAAAATAGCAAATAACAACAATAAAAAATCTTCATGTAGATCTTTACAGAAAGTAAAATAAACATAGAGTAGCAAATCTTTCTACATTTACATACGAAAATCTCAAAATGTACTTCTATAAAGTAGGTCATCATTGCATTATGATTACTGAAAACTGTTTACAATATTACCTATTCATTTGCATACAAATTAAATATTTTTATCTCTGTAATATTAATAAAAGCTACTTCCTATGACATATTTTCAGTAAGCTTATTTATGTTATTTACAGACTTCATTGTCAAAGTAATGACTTTCTAAACGCAACATAACCGTTAAAGCGTAAAATTTAGAGCAATAGATTTCTATTAAGTACTCTTTAATATTGTTGGTTAATAGAGCGTGATACAATAGAGACATATTGAATATAAATTTTGAAATTAGGATTAATTGCGATTAACGGTTTTTATAATAGTTATCTCTGCAAAATAACATTTTTGTAAAATTTTATTAAGATTTAAATTTGTTCTGTTTTATATTTACACACATACACACACACACACACACACACACACACACACATACACACACAAAACACGTAACATTTTTTTGGAATCATTATTTCAAATAATGCATATTCAATCAATTATTATTTTAAATTTACAATATAGGTACATATATATAGTTAAAAGCGTATAACAGATTTGAACTCTGTTTTAATATTTTTTTTTCATTTTTTGTTGCAGGTTGTAAAGATGTTCATTATCGTGGTGACAATATTTGCAGTGTGCTGGTTGCCATATCAGGGATTTTTCATTTTCGTGTATCATCATCGTCATTTTGCAGAAAGTAGTTATGTACAACATGTATATTTAAGTTTTTACTGGCTTGCTATGTCTAACTCTATGGTAAATCCGATCATATATTACTGGATGAATAACAGGTATTATAATATTTCTTATGTATAGATTGTAATGAAATCATCAATGGCATGCTTTACAAAAAATGCAATCTTTTTTTTAATAATGAAATTTTATACATCAACTTTAAAATATATATTAATTTTTTGTATTTTTTTATAAAATCAATCATTTTAGCCACATAGTATATAATTTACGAAATTTCAGTTTTATTATATGTACGTATCACATTTTAATATATGTATACATTTATTATGTACTTTGTTTAATTCTTAAATTAATGTTTAATTCTTAGAACGGTTTTTTTGTTATACAATATATAAAATTATCAATAAAATTCTAAATTCTAAATTCTGGCATAAATTATATAATGATCTCAAATGAGGTTAACATAGATTAAAAGATCTGTTAATAAGTATTCATTAGTAAAATAAATGATAAATAAATGTCAAGATATTAAAGAAGATTTATGTAAATCTTACCTAAACTTTAATTATATGTATAACATCTTTACAATAATTTCATCTAAAAAATAGTAACCAATTAATTCAACTTAAAAAATAATAAACACGAAAAATTCGTTTAATTGTCAAGGAAAATACGCCTACAACATACCTACAGATTAACAGAATGGCGGGCAAAAAAATGTATATTCGAGGAATTTTGCATTAGCATTGTATTTATCGAATCTCAGTCTCTTACATTAAGAGATTTACATCTCTTTTTAATTTAAATTCTTTGTAATATCTGATCAATACAGTATTATTACAAGTATTATCAAACATAATACTTCAAAAAATTCTCGGGATTATATAAAGCAGTCTCCGACAATTCAGTTAATCACAGAGAATTTCAGTTTACATTCTAATTATACATTTCTGCATTCGTATATCGATCCTCAACAGTTTAACTTCGCCGCGTTCCATCCTCTAAGTTCCTTTACTCTGAAAACTGATCGCGTCCATCAAATGCAACATGATAAGCTATTAGAAACTTGTTATTGCACGCAGAAAAAATCTTTTGTTATTACTGTCTGCATTTACATTCTTAAACAACTGTATTAATGTCCAGATAATCTTCTGTTTATGTCCACTAATTTCGTTTACCATAAAAATTACGTATATTATGGTAATTATATCACAATATACAGATATGAACAATCAAGAGAAATGAATTAAATATTAGGATATTGAATTTTCTATAATATATTTGTATTATAATATTTATCTCTTCTCGAAGAATAATATAAAATAATTATAAACATCTTATATAATAACATATAAATAATAAATTACGGAACTAACAATTACAGTAAATAAAAAGTAAATAATTTTCGTAAAATTGATATAATTATTTAAATAAAATAAATATTTTAAAATGCGAAAATTTTAATATAAATTTTTTATTGTTACATACAAATTTATTTTTAAAATAAAATTCTGAGTTTGCCTTACAGAATTTCTTCTAGAAGTTTTTCTCACAATTTTTCATACAAATTTTGATAGTTTTACGAGCTAAAATAAGAAAAAATATTATACAAGCATAGGTCTTTATATGCTTTAATAAAAAATTATAACAAAAATGTGTAAAAAAGATTTTATCTAGTTTCAAATTACCGCTCTCCCATGTCAATACAAGTTCGACATTGATGTAATTTATCATCTTTTTTGCGAGCATAGAAGAATCTTCATAGTAAAATTTCTTCTATCATCGCAAAATAAGGTAATAAATTCAAATTTATATTACGTCAAAGTTTATACAGAAAATCCGAGGACATTCTACATCCTAAATACATTTACAAACATTTCAATAAAAAAACTTGAAAATTTTTTATTATAAAGCGCATTTTGTAAGTTTAAAAACAATATTTTCTTATGAAAGAGATTTATTATCTATCTTCTATTATCTATTTATTATTAATTTTTTTAATTTTAAAATAATATATTTTGTCCAATTATTTTTCAGTAATTTATTTTGACATTGGAGAAATCATTTCAGTGAACTGTACACGTAAATACACATTTCTAAGATTTATTCGTGTCGCAGAGGCAAATTGATTAAATTCGAGATCTGACATCTTATGTATACGATGAAAACGCAACAATATCAGGCGCAATATTTGCATTTTGCGCCATTGTGTATACTCAAGGACCATTGCACAGTTGCCGCAATGCACACCGGAGAATTATATATGAACTTAATTACCATTTTGTTAAAATAATATAACGCTATCGTATAATAATCGTATAATAATCACAAATGGACATCGTCGGCTTTGGCATAATAAAATATTATTATTCGGTATCAATTCGTAATCAAATGTATTAATTATATATATTTTCAGATATTTTACCGCCTGATTGATTAGTAAATACAATCTGCATATATCAGATCTGTCCAATTTGAGCTCCGAAACCAAAACGCAAAGTCATCGATGCAAAAAGTTCAATATGGGTAAGATTTCAAAAACTGTAAAGTGTTGATACGCATCTGAGTGAAGCTTTACGGCTCAACACTTTATAGTCCCTGAAATCTTATATTGAATTTTTTTTGCTTCGATGTGTTCTATGTTTCGGAATTTAAATTGAACAGACCTAACATATAAATACTATATATATATTAGGTGTTGGAATTAATTCGTAGCGTTTTTTAATGAAAGAATGTTATTTATTTCACATGAGCATTAAAAAATACATTAATGAAAGTACTTCCCATCACTTGTAAAACGCTACGAATTAATTCCAACACCTAATATAATATTAAATGTATATATTCTACATAATAATGTTCTTAAATTGCGAAAATAATCAAATATATTAATAAAACATGTAATGCTGAGATAGAATTAATCTTTATAATAATTTTACATTTTATATTTATCCACCATGGAAAAAGACTATAGAAATTTATATGTTCTAATATTTTAATAAAAATTACATTTGAATTAGATTTAATCATATATATTACAATAATATTTTTAAATTATATAACAAATAACTAATTACAGCTTAAATTGCACAAATAATTATTCAGTAATACTTATCAAAATTTTGGCAATATATATAATATTCATTTTCACAAGACGAATTCAAAATTTATTCTAAAATTTAATTTAACAAAACGTTATATATTTGAGTTTGTATATTTTGAATATTTGCTTATAAATAATAAATAATTAATCTAATTAATAATACAAAAGTTAATGTTTATAATACTTGTTTTCTTCTATTTCTAAAAATAGAAAAAAATAAATAATCAATGGCCTTAATGGTATTATATGAATGAGTAGAATTATCCTTGAGATAACTTTTGAATATTCCCCTAATAGTCCGACGTTCAAATTGCGACAAAGAAGTATTTGCACATTCATAAATTTTTATGAATGTGTAAATTTCAGGAATTGTGAAAGACTTTGAGTTGCAATCGAACATTTAGTATGTTTAAAAGAATTGACTTCATTGAATTATTAATAAAAAAAGATTTTATATTGCTCTCTCTCTCTAATGTAAATTAAGTCTTCAGAATTTATTTTTTTGATACTAAAATACATGCTTTTTTTTAAGAACCGGTGATATTTTCAAGTAGTAACAGTTTTCGTTAATTATTCTTAAATATATATATTTACATATGTGTATTTAATTTTTCCAGTTAATTTGGATTAAAACTACTTTTGCATTTCTAAAATTAAATTTCTCGTATTTCAAAAAAACATCTCGTATTTCAAAAAAATTCGGAAATGTAACAAGAACAGATTTTGAAAGAATAATTAATTGGTTTTATCATTTATATTAACACAATTCTACATTATATTTATCTACATATAGTTTCAAAAAAGATCTATATATTATCTACTAAAGAAAAGAAGAAGAACTTTACGGTAGCTCTCTAAGAATATTATAAACGAGCTGTCAAGACCTTAATCAGCAATTTGAACAAGAAAAGAGATCGTTTACCAGGATTATATGTGACCAATATATTTTATGTACTTGCTGTTTACGTCATGTTGATAACTCAGACAAGAATAATTTGTGCTATTTCTATAGCAAGACAAAATTGGAAAGATCCATTTTAAAAATAGTTTTAAGAATTTTAATTTTTTGCTTAATTATATAGTATCAATATAATATATCCATTCCATATTGTACTAATTCGTACTTTAAGTTTTTTATTTTTACTTTATTTTATTACAAATAATTTTAATAATATAAAAGTATTGTAATAAAAAGACAAAATTATAGAAGAGACAGAAATATCAAATTTATGTGATTATCAATTTGCTGAAAATAGTGAGTCTAAAAAATGACAAAGACGGTATTATACATAGGCCTCTATACACACACACATTCTCTCTCTCTCTCTCTCTCTCTCTCTCTCTCTCTCTCTCTGAATCTTTTACATACGATCTCATTTGAAAGTTTTAATTGATTTCATTTTTAAATAAAAAAGTATAAGAATATTATATGTCTGATCTCAGTTCAAAATTTAATCTCGCATGCAATCATTTTCTCCAACCTAATTTAAATTTTATTTATGTATGTAAGTGCGTAAAAATCGCATTGTCTTATATTAAAGATAATTTACATTATTGCATTAATTATTGCATTAATTATTGCATTAAGATAATCTGCATTAAATGTATTATATTTGGTTAATTAAGTAAACGGAGTGTTATTTACATATATAACTACGCGTGTCATCGAATTAACTGTTACAGATTTCGAGTTTACTTTGAATTGGTAATTTGCAAATGCTGTTGCGTGATAGATCGGAGAAACGTACAAACCCATGAAACACAAGAATTGGCAGGGTGTCAGCGTTCGGAACTAATACCATGTAATTCCAGTAAGTACAATTTCTACTTAGGGTGCATTCGGGGAGACACTATTAGCACTATTTGTCGTTCTATCCTTGTCTTACGTCTAATGAACGAAATAAAAATAGAATGATATAAATCTCGCTATCTCTCTGAACGTTCTTGATTACAAGTGACAATTGATCGACGACATTTAATTACAGTTTTTTTTTTATTATCTTATATATTACAACTCTTTTATGTACATATAAATGATCGGATTCGTTTATTTAATAAAACTTGCATGAGATTTGTTTGAGATTTGATTTGGAAATCCAATTTACTTTGAACAAAATACATTAATAGTTTTACATACAAAAGAAATATTAGTAATTTTATTTAAGAAAAATTTATATTTGAATGTTTATTTCTATTTTTAATAAAATTTTTCATGAGATCTTTTGTATTTCTTGTATAGTTATCCACTGCATAAACATTAAATCATATTTTATTGACAATAATTTGTTGATATAATTCATTAGATTAGAAATCGCGAACTAACAAATCGAAAAATCAATCACTGAATTATTTCATTGCAAACATCACGTGGCAGACAGTCTCGAATCGTCCAATATTTTGTTTAAATGGGCGCAGATATTGCTTTCATATCTGCAAAAGTTTTTAAACAACATATTTTTATTTTTTCGAAAATGTAGAATATTTTATATCAAAAGATTTCCGTATCAAAAGGTTGAATTTCTGCGTATTACACGTGTATCTTTTGATGGCAATGTCACTGATGCAAATCCATCAATGCAGATGGAATTTCACGGATGTATGAAATAGTCAAGATATGAATAGTTGACATCTTTCAATCATGTTCAACTATGTTATATCTAAAGAGATGACATTCAAACTTTAAAACCAAAAGAATATTTTCTTCTATTTTTCTATATATAATTCTTAAATTATATAATAGTAGATAATATAATATAATTGTCTACAATAATAAATAATAAATTTAATATTGTAAAAAACTAAATAATTAAAATTTAAGAAAAAAAACATATTTCAAATAAAACGTTGAAAGAATATATTTATATACTACGAATTTTCTTCTATACTAGAATTACGCTAATTTATAGTAATAAAATTATTGTTTAATTTATAAGATTTCTAAAGATTTTATTTATTTTTTAATCCTTTTGTAACTTAGAAATTGTATATCACAAAATGTGAGAACTTTTTGTTCTTAAATTCAATAGAGGAAGGTGAGACAAAACTCCCCCTCCCCCTCCTCTCTCTCTCTCTCTCTGTATCACGCAATTTAAATATACCATTCATAATCGAACATACACATTAGATATGGCTTGGTTATTGACAGTTCCCTACAAGACAGCGTAGTTGCGTAATTGAGTTACATTAATAATTGAATTTTTTGCGATTTTGTTATTATTCTTTCTCAGTTCTCATTTGTGATATTAATATTAAATTATAGCAGTTCCCTTGTAAATGTATGTGTTTGGGACAAAATTTAACAAGCTATAAGATAAGAACTCTATTTTTTATTATTATAAACAGTGTTTCGAAAAAATTTGATATGATTTCCGTTAGACAAAGAGGGGTAAGATAGGATATTGAAGATTGAGAGTTAATACAAATTGAGTATATCCCACAAATAAAAAAAAACAAAGTTTTTCATTATTATAGAATGGTTAGGAACTACAAATGTAAGACTGACCGAGGAAAATGTTCAGAAGAGGCAATGCTCAATGCAGTTTTATTTAGTCTTATTAGAGTAGAGGGTTGGATAAATTGTTAATCATGTGGAAAATGGGCTCATTGCTCGTGTGCTAATGTAGAAAATGACAACGAAGATGCAACACATGTTTACTCCCTGTCATTTCGATAAATAATGAATGTTATTTAATTATTAATGGATGTTCCATCTTGCCCATGAGGCACCCCGTCTTGCCCTACCCGCGGGGAATGCCAAGATGGGAAAAAATGCATTTTCTTTATTTTTATTTAAAGTTTAAAAAATTCTAAAGATTTAATGGTAGTCAAATTAAAAGACTGAAAGATTAGTTAAGCAATAAAGTTGATTGGTTAATTATGAAAATCCATGTTTTATATATCATCGAACCTTAAGTATCCCGTCTTGCCCCACCTTTCTCTATTGTATATTAAAAAAGCAATTGAATAAAATCAAAATCCAACGATAGTTATATACACTGATTTATTATTTTATATTTCTAGCTATTATTCTTTAACATCTGTACTGTAATATTTTTTATATTGTTCACTTTTAATAAAACAAAGAGAAGATGCATTTATCATAATATTTATTTAATTTATATAATCTTTTTTTTTCTGTTCTCTTTTTATATTTGAAATATTTTCATTATGTAATAAGAGATAATTTTTATACTTACTACGAGCAAGTATTTCACATACTTTATTTAGCGTATGATGCGATAAATATATGTTGAAAAATGTTACCATAAAATCTTGAAGGTAACTTGAATTTTAATCATCACATTATATTTTATGTCAACTATTCGCGGAATTCCAGCCTTTAGGCAGAGAATGTTGAGCATGTGTTGAAAGAGAGAATCTAATTCATTATTCTTAATATAAAATTTTCTTTTAGCTTTCTAAAGAGATAGATCAGTTTAATAGTTTAATCCAAAATATATTATTAGCTTAACAAAACAACAAAGACTATAGATTATTTACAATATATTTGTAATATACGATACAATATATGTATATAATTAAGAAATAACATAAGTGGGATAATTTACACAATTTAGTACACAATAATTATAAAAATTATTTAATATTTACTAATAAATAATTAATAATTACGCAACTCATCAATATGATTTCTATATAAATATTTTAATTTCTATAAAATAAAAATTTTTAAAGAATTTTTAAATTCAAAATGGGCTTGAAATGAAAATTTCAAGTCCATTTTGACCCAGAATGACCAGGCGTAAACCAATTTGTACATCAATTTGTTGTTTCCTACTTCAATCATCGTAATTTACGGCTCAGATTAGTCAGAGGGAATGCTATTGGAAAATACATAGTTCTAGTATTGCAAATATATTGTTAAAATATTACATGTAATGCTTGTGAATAATATTACAACTTTATCCCTTTTGAGCGTGAAAAATAATTAATAAATTCGGACAATAAAAAACTCAAATTCAAATTTAAATAATATAACTTCTCAATGCAAATTTATACTCAGCAAGAAATGGAATTTTCCATAACGCACATTCCAGGTTGTCAAGAGTAAATTGTAGACATTTGCAGACATTTAAATTTGCGCATTTTGTTTTGTTTCCAGGTCGTTTTAAATCTACTTCAGTCAGATGGCGACAAAGCGTGGCAGAAAGCCAGATACAAACCTTTAAAATGAATACTCGAACAATGTGTGAGGGACTTCATGTTAAAGAGGATATTGCTATAATCTGAATTTTAACTTAAGTATATATTACAAAGTTTCAAATATCATATTACCATTTTCGTGCTTTACAACGAACTTCGTTATAAACAGTTACCAAATGTTATAACGCAGTTCTAATTGCATGTTGAATGGCTAACAATAATGAGTTATCAAGCACAATATTCTATCTTCTCCTTTTAAAGATTATTTTCTTACTCATAAATGAGACTGACAGAAATGTAACCAAAAAGTTCGATGTTATTTATAATATTAGATATAAAACTTAAAAATGTAATTATATAATAGGTATACGTCTTGTATATTAATGATAATATTCTATACCTTCTTCGAACTGTTATCATTATATTACAACAAAATTCTGTACATATTATAAAAATAATAATCATGATTCGTTATATGCATAATACGTAACATACGCAATATACGTAATTCGTTATATATAATACATTTCGTTATGTATATCATATATACTTATAAATGTTATTTTAATAAGACTTACCTTTCTAACCTTACCCTAATATTACCTTTTTAACTTCAGAAATATTTAATACATTAAACGTATATTATTTGTCACAAATATACTTTTAAGTATATTAAAATATAATTGATTTTGCAAAAATATTTTTATTAACGTTTGATTTCATATCCGCAATAAATTTGAACTAAATTTTTTTTGAACTAAACTTTTAATTGCTTATGTACCTACAAGCATTTCAATTATCAAATACTTCTAAAGCAACATTACTTTGTCAAAATAATGTTGTTACGTGTCGTCTTTTCTTTATTATTTTTTGTTTGCTAAATTATTGTTTTGTATCATGTTATTCTATATGCAAAATTATTAATCTCATTAGCGTGCATGACAACTCGTTATAAATTTTGAAGTTTTAGTAATGAATTACGTGCTAAAATATTCGAAAATGAAATAACAAGTTATTTGAGCATTTTGTACAACTTTAAGATAGCTTTCTAATTTTCTCACTAAATAATATTTATTAGTATTTTAGAGCAATTTTGATTTTAAGATAAACAAAACCAAAAATATTTGTTACTATATAATTTACTATATAATATTATATATATAAATTTATTTAAAATGATATTACTAATGCTAACTATAACTTTTCAAACTTACCTATTGTTATATAATTATCATTGCAGTATACTTTAATGTAAGTATAGAAAATATTTAAATTATTATTTGTTTGTAAATTGTAATACGTCAATTAAACCGAAAATATGACGAAATTGTTTTGAAAAAATGCGTTTTTTTGAAAAAATTAACGAAAAGAATTGCTTTCATGATGCAGAGATGTACAAAGGCACTACATATAGCAGAAATGAATGCCTTTAGCTATGTTCACTTATGACTGTTTATGACGCAAGAAACGCAATGAACGCGCATTAAATTAAATCTGATTTTCTTCTCTCTGGATCTTCCCTATTATTTTAGAAGTAATAAACTATAATATAGTATTCGCATAATGTTTGGAAACTGGCATATATAAAGTTTAAAATTTTAAAAGTATATGTACATATAAATTCATCTTAAATTAATATTTTTAGAGAACAATTATAGATTTGAATTTATATAGAAATTGAGTTGTATTTATAATTAGTAACATTTTTATTCACAAAATTTGTTACATATTATTTTTCTTTCATTTTAATACATATATATTATTAGGTGTTGGAATTAATTCGTAGCGTTTTTTAATGAAAGAATGTTATTTATTTCACATGAGCATTAAAAAATACATTAATGAAAGTACTTCCCATCACTTGTAAAACGCTACGAATTAATTCCAACACCTAATAATTTATTAATTAGTTCAAAATTATATTTTATAAATAATACAAATTTTCTTTCATAATTTCTTATTAAATGATACAACGTTTTTGATGTTTACGTATATAAATATACATTACATAAAATCTTCTTTCTCAAGAATTTCAACAATAAAAAAGTTTCAGATTTATTTATTCATGATTATAATATGAAATTGATAATTTATTTGTGTATTTCTTTTCTAATATGTAAAAATAAAAAATATAGAAATGCAATCATTTCTCAATGTATTTATAAATCTAGATTACAGTGTAGTAGATAAATTTGCCTTTTAGTATCGTAAATTGAAAGAGATATACAGGAAGCAGGTCATGACATAAAGCAAATTTAAATAGTATTTAAACAGCAGAAAGGGATGATTCACTATTCAAATATTAAAACCAGGTATTAACATTGCATAATAATCGGACAGATAGTATTAAACATTATTCTGATGACTAACCGTTTAAAGATAGATCAGTTTTAAGCTCTTTCATATTTAGAGATACAAGTACGCAAGTGCGAACTGAGAGATCAATGTATATTCACAAACGTATATTCACATATACATAATTATTCCTAAATTTAATGTTTAACGCTTAAAATCAGAGAAAATCATATTACGTCATATAAATTATCTCTCTTCTATTTAATGTATTTTCTAAATGCATTATTGATAAAATTTAAACATATTAAAGTGCAACTTTAGATTTTATCATTTTATCTTTTCGCACTTTTAGAGTATCACATTTTATTTCTACGGATTGATACACAGTACCTACATCATTTTTGTTTGTGTTACATCTCTATATGATAGCAAATCATACTTGGCAGGATTTCTATGAGAATAGCGATTTTCTATGGGCTTTCCGATCGCTTTCAAATTTTTTGTATGTAATAAAAACTTTTATATCATATCGTTGCTTCTTTTATTACATAGTATAAAATATATATGTACTTTAATATCGTAACTTGAAGACTGTACAGTAAGCTATTTCATAAAAAATCCAACATGTTGCACATTTTTTGTTACATATAAATTTTTTATAACACCAGTTCGTAAACTTCGTTACAAAATTTGTTCTTTCATATTTCTTTATCTTAATTGCAAATTATTATAGAAAAATTATTATCATTATTATTTAATATATGTAACTATATACTCTAATAATTCAGTCAACGTAAAAAGATAGGCTTTATTACAATTTTAATTAATTGATAAGAATAATTAGTCTTACGTATATAAATTTGCGTTTATATTTTATATAATAAAGTTATGAAAAGATTCTATAACCAGAGCCTGGAATAATGTTTTCTTAACCAAGATATAGAAAAAAACACTCAAAACTGTTTTAAAAGCCTTACAAACAGATTTAACAAACTGTAGCAATAGTTTAAAAATACAATAAAATATCAAAATAATCTTTTTTATTAATTATATGTCTCATTTAGACAATAAATATTGCTGAGTAATAGAGTTAGTAAAAGTTTTATAGGATAAACTTTTAGTCTCTATATCGAAAATGTATTTAACAGAACATGATAAAATTTTTTTATCTATAGCACATAGCGAACGACGCACGCTAGTGTCGATATTTTCTCATTTCCTTTCAGTTGTAAGAGCTATGACAGAATTATCGAACGATCACCGTGAGTAAGCATCGTATGAAGAATGGTGTGTCATTGATAGAAAATTATGGCATTCACATGATATGGTTAGTTACGGAATTATGACGACTACATCCTGAGAATATATACAGGCTAGATGAAAGGAATTAATTTCTCGGTGACACTGTTTTTCACATGAATAATGTATGGAAATGTCTGTCACCCATACGCCGTATTCATATCAAAATTGTAAAAATATTGTAAATTATGTAAAATACATGTTTTACATTACATTATATTTGAAAAAAAAATTTAACATAAATAAACATTGAACAGTTTTCATATTCGATATCTTTAAAACAGGCAATTTCAGACAAAAAAATAGAAGCGGTTACGTCGTTATGTGAAATCAAGTGTAAAGATAAACATGACGGAAGTAAATGACTTAAGGTCCCATCAACTTCTATTTTTTGGTGACATAAGGAGTTTTTGGATATTTTTTTGGGTTTTTTGGATATTGGAGTTCTAATTTATTTCGCCATACTTTTTTTACAATTGATAACATTTATCATCTGCAAGTAGTAAGCGATATATGTATATATTGTAATTGTAGTTTTGTAGAAAAATTAAGATTAGATTATGTAGGTACACGATTAAAATATGCACATATGCACAATGTAGAATTTGGTAAAACAAGAAAGCGAGACGAAATTAAAATGTGCTTAGGTATGCAACGTAAAATTTGATAAAACACGAAAACACACTGCATTACACGCTAGAAATATTATTTTTGAGAAAATTGTTAACCGCAGGAAACATTTGCAACAATTTTGACAACAGAAAATTGTTAGTTTAAATAAAGTATTGTAGGAAAAGTATGACGCGTTAAATATTATAAAACGTGACGTATTTCCGTAAAACTTCTATTTAGTTTCATATTATAGATAACTCACACGAAACACATGGGACATTTTGAACGATTTACTTTCATCACGTTTGTCGTTTGCACTTAACGTTTCACAATAAGAGCGAATACTGTATAGTTCCTATTGAGCTTCTACTCTCTCGCTAGGGTTGCTATGATACATTTGTGAGATGTCGAGATCTGCAGAGAAAGAAAAATGATAATAGCAGTTCACTTAAATAATTCTCTGCCATTAATACAAGACTTTATAGTTTCTCTCTAAATTTGAATTAGTGAATAATTACTGATATCAGTGCCAAGTATGCCACTGATAATCAGTAAATTAAATATAAGATCTCTAATTTTAGCTAATTTTTATTATGTGATCTAACTAACCTTGTTTTAGTGCTTAAATTCGATAAATATAGTATTAAAAAATTGAAATTAACGTGCAAATATCAATATTTTAGTTATAAATAATGCTCAAACATTCTTCTTTTTTTAGTTAAACTTCACTGATTATCAGTGCCAAGTATGCCACTGGGTAATTAATGATTATTCACTAATTCAGATTTAGAAAGTTGATAGGGAATATTCATATATCGAGATTCCACTTTTTTTTATTATATTAATAAACAAATTATTTGATAGATTGTTATAAAATATTTCATGATGTTAATCAATCAGGCGTACAGCCTTTATTAATTTCCTAATTAATATTATTTGTTAAATTTTCCGTATATTACCCACAAACAGCGAGGGCACATTGGATACTAAGCTATGTCAGTTCGGTTACCTTGCTTAATTAATGCTT